GAGGTACTTTACACAACACTGTAAACAGTATGTACACAGTAAAACAATAAAATACAATGAAATAAAATAATAAGAATAAAAATGCATAACAGWAAAAAGTACGAAGATGCTGTCGTGGGAGAGCAAAGTAGAGGAAGAAAAGTGCAGTAATTGGACTGCATTGTAATTAAAATGACCATGTAGTGTTTAACAGAGACACGGCCTCATGAAAAAAAAAAACTGTTCCTGAGTCTGCTGGTGCGGGAGCGGAGGCTCCTGTAATGCCTACCAGATGGAAGGAGGTTGAAAAGACCATGATTTGGGTGAAAAACATCCTTGATGATATTCCCCGCCCTACCCAGGCAGCGCTTGCAGTATATGACCTGAATGGAAGGTAACTGGGTGTCTGTGATGCATTGAGCCATTTTCACCACCCATTGGAGTGCCTTGCGGTCAGCAGCGCAGGAGTTGCCGTACCATCGAGATGCAGCTGGTGAGTACGCTCTCAATGGTACAGCGATAAAAGTTCACCAGGATCCTTAAAGAAAAGTGAGCTTTCTTAAGGCTCCAAAGGAAGTACAGGCGCTGCTGCGCAGAGACCATTTGAGATCACTGGAGATGTACTGTAAGTGCCGAGGAACTTGAAGCTGGTCACCTGTTCCACTGCAGCTCCTCTGATGTAGATTGGGGGTGTGATCCTGGCTTCTAGACCTCCTCAAGTCTATTATAATCGCCTTAGTTTTCTGAGTGTTCAGTATCAAGTTGTTGTGACACCACGTGGACACCTCGTCCCTGTAGGCCGTCTCATCGTTATCTCTGATCAGGCCTATCACCGTGGTGTCATCCGCATACTTGATTAAGGTGTTAGAACCATGAATTGGCACACAGTCATGGKTAAGCAGKGAGTAATTAAGGCTAAATAAGGTGTAGTTATTATAAAGTGTTACCATTTAAGGTTCTTAATTAACTCAGCAGACTTATCAATGTGGAGCCAAAACTGTTGTCATTGGCAGATCACCAGTCTGTCTGTGTAAAACCTGGAAAAATAGCTTAGAAACAGTCCAAACTTCAAAATTAACTTGGATAAACAGGGAGAACTAAAACATGTGTAATGCTCTACCATTGTGCTCTTTTTAAGAAGTCGTGTTGCTCAGACAATCAGACCAGTCCAGATTTTCTGCCAATAATTTAACATGACTTAAAAGTAGGGGAGAAAAAAGAAAATGGGTCCAACTTTCACAGAAGGCATGTGCCCATTTGTTTGTGTTTCATTAATGTTATGTTTTTGTTTCTTTATTTTTTAAAATCTGTTTGTGTGTTTTAGCAATGTAATCGCCTGGCATCCGACGCCGTGGACCAAGAAACAAAAACAAGAATTATGAAATGGCTCCAAAATGCACCGAATAGTTGGTAAAATGAATGGATGATTTTGTTTAGTGTATCTTAAGATCATTTTGGCCTTTTAGTTACAAAATAATTGTAGTTATTTTTAAGAAACTAAACTGACTCACTTTTACTTCTTCTTTTTTTATTTTATTTTATTTTTT